ACAAGATATCTAGTTATTTTGAGACATGAAGTCATATGACATGGCTAATATCTCCTAATAACAAAAATAACGACTTTACATCTCAAAATAACAAAATATTTTGTGGGAATAATGAGATATTTTCTTTTTTCTCACTGCTTTCTCTTTACAAAAATCTAATTTACATATATTATTGAGTGCGGGCAAACTTTTTGAGCTGCTTATTAAAAACTGCATATAATAATGCTGAATATATATATATATATATATATAGATGCAAAGATATACAAACATATGTCTATGAATACCGATAAGGTTACCATAAAGGTTTAAAAAGCCTTAATAGTTGCTTTTTCATTAATGTTAAATCAAGTATCGGACAGTATTTGCTAATCGAAGGTCATGATTCATTGATGAGTGTGAACCCGGTGACGCGCATCACTCTCTCTCTCTCTCTCTCTCTCTCTCTCTCTCCTCCAGTTTCTCCGTCGCTCCTCACCTGAACGGATCTTCCTCCTCTTCGCGCGTGTTTATATTTCTCCTCTTCTCATGATGATGATGATGAGGGTGAAGAGTGTGTTCTCCGGTGCTCTTCTTCATCTGCTGCTGTCGGTGATGTCGGTGTTGTCGGTAAACACCGGGAGTCTCCTGGAAGACCGGCAGCAGTGGCTCTCCTCGTCTTCCGTGCACCGATACAGCCGCACCGTCACGCGCTGGAACCGCTTCAGAGACGTGAGTACCGCCGCCACACACACACACACACACACACACACACACACACACACACACACACACACACACACACACACACACACATTAAATACTGCATTTACATTTTAAAACACTTCTGATTTATGAGCTGTTTTCCTCATAAGAAATTTACAGGTGTTCCTATACTTGTGGGGACATTTGCTACACACTAGGTACACACCACACACACTTGCAAAGCTATCCTTTTTCTATTGTGCAGACTGTTTATTGTCTGCATTTAATATTCTTAAAAATATTTTATACAAGAAACACACACAAGCATTCCTGAAAACGTTTTCACAGTTTTTCTACTGTATAAACAGCCTCACCGGCCACTTTATTAGGTACACCTGTCCAACTGCTTGTTAATGCAAATCTCTAATCAGCCAATCAGAGTATTCAGGAACCTGTTGATCTACTGGGATTTTCACGCACAACCATCTCTAGGGTTACAAGAGAATGCTCCGACAAAGAGGAAATATCCAGTGAGCGGCAGTTCTGTGGGCGCAATGCTTTGTTGATGCCAGAGGAGAATGGCCAGACTGGTTCCAGCTGATAAAAAGGCAACAGTAACTCAAATAAGCACTCGTTACAAGCGAGCTCTGCAGAAGAGCATCTCTGAACACACAACACGTCCAACCTTGAGGCGGATGGGCTACAGCAGCAGAAGAGCACACCGGGTGCCGCTCCTGTCAGCTAAGAACAGGAAACTGAGGCTACAATTCACACAGACTCACCAAAACTGGACAATAGAAGATTGGAGAAACGTTGCTGCTCTGATGAGTCTCCATTTCTGCTCACACATTCGGATGCTCGGCTCACAATTTGGCCTCAACAACATGAAAGCATGGATCATCCTGCCTTGTGTCAGCGGTTCAGGCTGGTGGTGGTGGTGTAATGGTGTGGGGGAGATTTTCTTTGGGTCCATTAGTACCAATTGAGCATCAACGCCACAGCCTACCTGAGTATTGCTGCTGACCATGTCCATCCCTTTATGAGCACAGTGTCTCCATCTTCCGATGGCTACTTCCAGCAGGATAACGCAGCATGTCATAAAGCTCAATCATCTCAGACTGGTGTCTTGAACATGACGATGAGTTCACTGTACTCAAATGGCCTCCACAGTTCTGAAGGCAATAGGGGTCCAACCTGGTACTAGTAAGGTGTGCCTAATAAAGTGGCCAGTGAGTGTATATCTAAACCCAGCCCTCTCAGTAAACTGCAGATTTTTCTCTTTGAGAGAAAAAAAAACTCATTGTGAATGATTTATATTCATATTGATAAATGGGGACAATTTTGGGGACATTCATGTCCTCATAATTCAGCTTCTCCTTAATATCTGCATCATACCCATGGCATTATACAAGTTTGTGTTCATATGACTCAACCAAAACACACACACACACACTGATAATAGAGAGTGTGTGCTTGAGTTTATTTCTGTGAGAGAAAGACAGCTTGGGACTGTCAGTCAGTGCAGGACTTACTCAGGTGACAGGTGTGTGTGTGTGTCTGTGTGTAAGAGTGTCTGAGTGTGGGTGTGTATAGTATGTGTTTGTTCATGTGTGTACTCTCATCAGATCAATCTCATAGCTGGTTATGGGCTTGCTATTGTCACTAACAGGTGTTTTGTACAGGTGTGTGTGTGTGTGTGTGTGATGATGACACACACACACTCCTTGTCTCATCTTTACACCTCAGCAGTTAATCAATTCATTCATTTTCTTTTCAGCTTAGTCCTTTATTAATCAGGTGTCACCACAGAGGAATGAACCGCCAACTATTCCAGCATATGTTTTATACAGCAGATGCCCTTCCAGCTGCAACCCACTACTGAAAAACACACACATACACACACACACACACACACACACACACACACACACACACACAC